AAAATGAACAAGTTCATAGAAACATATAAACTACCAAAACTGAAACAAGAAGAAGTAGAAAATGAGAACAGACTCATATCCAGTAAAGAAACTGAATCAGTAATCAAAAATCTCCCAACAACCAAGAATCCAGGGCCAGATGGCTATCTGGGGAATTCTACCAAACATTTAAAGAAGAGTTAATACCTAATCCTTTGAACTGTTCCAAAAACAGAAATGGAAGGAAAACTTCCAAACTCATTCTATAAGGCTAACATTACGTTGATTTTAAAATCAAAGACTCCATTAAAAAGAATTAAGAACAAATCTCCCTGATGAGCATGGATGCAAAAATTCTCAACAAGATACTATTAGCAAACCAAGTCCAACAATACATTAAAAGAATTATTCACCAAGATCAAGTGGGATTTATTCCTGGACTGCAGGAGTGGTTCAAAATCCACAAATCAACCAATCTGATATATCATATTAATAAAATAAAGGGTAAGAATCACATGATCCCTCTCAATAGATGCAGAAAAAAAAAATCCTTTCTTAATAAAAACACTCAAGAAAGTAGGGATAAAAGGAACATACCTCCAGATCATAAGGGCCATGTATGAGACTCATAGCTAATATCATCCTCAATGGGGAAAAACTAAGAGCTTTCCCCCTAAGGTCAGGAACATGACAGGGATGTCCACTCTCACCACTGTTACTTAACATAGTGTTGGAAGTCCTAGCCTCAGCAATAAGACAACAAAAGGAAATAAAAGGCATCCAAAATCAGCAATGAAGAAGTCAAACTTTCACTCTTCACAGATGACAGGATATTCTACATGGAGAATCTAAAAGACTTCAGCAAAAATCTGCTGGAACTGATATATAAATTCAGCAAAGTCGCAGGATGTAAAATCACTGTACAGAAATAGGCTGCATTTCTATACACCAATAATGAAGCAGCAGAAAGAGCAACCAAGGAAATCAATCCCATTTGCAACTGTACCAAAAACCATAAAATACCTAGGAAGAATTCTAACCAAACAGGTGAAAGATTTGTCCACTGAAAACTATAAAAGCTTATGAAAGAAATCGAAAAAGACAATGGAATGGAAAAACATTCCATGCTCATGGATTGTAAGAAAAAATACTTAAAAATGTTAAAACATAGCAAACTACACATTCAATGGAATACCTATCAAAATACCACCAGCATTCTTCACAGAGCTAGAACAAACCATCATAAAATCTGTATGGTACTAGAAAAGATCCCGAATAACAAAACAATCCTGAAAAACAAAACCAAAGCTGGAGGCATGACAATTTTGGACTTTAAGCTGTATTATAAAGCTGTAATCATTAATACAGTATGGTAGTGGCACAAAAACAGACACATAGATCAATGGAACAGAATAGAGAACCCAGAAATGGACCCACAAATATATGGCCAACTAATCTTCTACAAAGCAGGAGAGAATATCCAATGGAAAAAGATAGTCTCTTCAGCAAATGGTGTTGGGAAAACTGGATAGCAACATGCAGAAGAACGAAACTGGACCACTTCCTTACACCATGCACAAAAATAAATTTAAAATGGATGAAATACCTAAATGTAAGACAGGAAACCAGTAAAATCCTAGTGGTAAAAACAGACAACTTCTTTGACCTCACCCACAGCAACTTTTTTACTAGATACGTCTCTGAAGAAAAGGGAAACAAAAACAAAAATGAACTGTTGGGACATCATAAAGAACAAAAGCTTTTATACAGCAAAGGAAACAATCAACAAAACTAAAAGGCAACCTATGGAACGGGAGAAGATCTTTGCAAATGACATATCTAATAAAGGATTAGTATCCAAATATATAATGAACTTATCAAACTCAACACCAATAAAACAAATAATCCAGTGAAGAAATGGTCAAAAGCCACGAATACACACTTTTCTGAAGAAGACATCCAGAAGGCCAACCAACACAAGAAAAGATGCTCAATATCACTATCAGGGAAATACAAATCAAACCCACAATGAGGTACCACCTCTCACCTGTCAGAATGGCTAAAATGCACTCAGGCAACAGCAGATGTTGGCAAAAATGCAGAGAAAGGGGAACACATTTGCCCTGCTGGTGGGAAAGTAAACTGCTATAGCTACTCTGGAGACAATATGGAGGTTCTTCAAAAAGTTAAAAATAGAGCTACCTTATGACCCAGCAATTGCACTACGAGGTATTTATCCAAAGGATACAGGTATGCTATTTTGAAGGGGCACAGGCATCCCAGTGTTTATAGCACCACTATTTACAATAGCCAAATTAGGGAAAGAGCCTAAATGTCCATCAATTGACAAATGGATAAAAAAAGGTGTGATATATATATATATATACACACAATGGAATATTACTCAATGATCAGAAAGAATGAAATCTAGCCATTTGCAACAATATGGATGGAACTAAAGTGTATTATGCTAAGCGAAATAAGTCAGCCAGAAAATACCATAGGATTTCACTTGTGTGGGGAATTTAAGAAACAAAAACAGATGAACATAGGGGACGGGAAGGAAAAATAAAGTAAAACAGAGGTAAGCAAACCATAAGAGACTCTTAAAGAGAACAAACTGAGGGTTACTGTAAGGGGTTGTGGGGGTGTTAAATGGGTGATGGGCATTAAAGAGGGCACTTGATGGGATGAGCACTGGGTGTTATATGTAAGTGATGAATTACTAAATTCTACTCCTGAAACCATTACTACACTATATGTTAACAAACTTGGATTTAAATAAAATTTAAAAATACACACACACAAACACACACACACACACACACACACACACACAGAATTCTGATCAGTGGAATATGGACAGAGTATTGTTTTTCTCTTCCAGGTCTAGCCCTAAAATATCTCCACATGTTCTTCCATGCTGTCTGTGTTGACTCTGTGTCCAGACAAATGGAACAGATTTTAGAAATACCACGAAGTCTCAGATGATGGCATCGCCACCAGATGAAACATTGCTTGAGCAATAAATAAACTTGTATTCCTTTGAGGCATTGGGATTTGGGGGTTATTTGCTTAAAAGTAATAATGTTAATGCAAGTACATGTTTTTAATGTTCTCTGTCTTCTGTGCTATTCTTGTAAGTTTGCTATTAAAATACATCAAACTATTAAAAAAAGTAATAATGTTAAGATTTAACTTAAAATTTATACAAATTTTTGTCTTGTTTGTGAGTTAGTGAACTACCTATTCAACAAAAAATTATCATGTTCAAATTCAATGGACTTCTATGGCTTCACTAGAAGAATCTGTTTCATTCATATTTAAGAAAGGGGAAAAACTACAAATCCTAACATTAGCACATTTTTAGCTCAGGACAAGAGGACTTTATGCGTTGTTCTAGTGAAGCATTATTAAAGGACACCTGACCCCTCCGACAGAGAAAAAGACCAGGTGCACAGTATCTATTGTTTCTATAGTCATCAGAAAAAATATAATTATATTCCTTAAAGCAACTATCCAAAGGAGATATTCAGAAAGTGTTTTAAAGCAGAATTTTTCCCTGATACACCCAAATAGCATTTAAAGATTCCTTTTGGTACCAGAACAAAAATGCAGCAGTTTAACTTAACTGAAAAGGCAGGGAGGCATACTGGATTAATGTAAAATCACTGACATATAGAAAATGGAAAACACATATGTTTGCACATATACACAACATACAGGATTATTGGAGGATAAAAATTTTACCTTGATAGTACACTAAAGGGACCAGCATCCTCTAGAATAATCATATGTCATTGACAAATGATCTTAGTGGGGGTAGTATTGAATCAGATCAGTTGAAGGTTTGGCCTAGATCTGACTCTATCACTTTCTAGAGGTAGAGAGGAAGAAATGAGAAAGGCATAAGAGCACAGTGACTCAATGTTTGGAGTCTCAGTTTTTACCTGCCACTAATGAGCCGTCTGTCTTGGGAAACTATTTCATGTTTTGATTTCCTCGGTTATACAATGGAGAGAAAATAATACCTATTTCACACATTGTTAAGAGTATTAAATCATATGATATATAACAAGTGTTTAGAGAGGACTTATATGAAAGTAAATCCTAATAAATATTGGCTATTATTTCTAATAGTGTATCTCTATCACAAATGAGCCGCATTACCCTCAACTGTCAAGTAAGAAATCGTGCTAGATGATGTGTATGATTTCTTTTAGTGTTCATATTCTAAGCCCACACCTGTGTTTTAAAATCAAATATCCAGTTGAAAAATGAAACCACTAAACCCTAAATGTTTTAAGTAATGACTTAAAAAAAGCTAGACAGTCTAGTCTGCTATTGAGATTGACTTAAAGAAGATAATTGACATAATAATGCACTAATAATTCCATGTTTTAAATATTCACAAGTGATACAGTACTTTATTTGTTATCCTTCATGAATCTGACCCTCATTTGAACATGGAATGTAACAAAATAACTTTCAGGCAATGATTTAAATTAAAATATGTCATATTGAATGAGTACCACAGAGATAAGAAATGATTGTGATCACACAAACCTGAATGGCTCCAGAATGTACCTGATAACACTCCATTTTTGCAGCTGAAGGTGAAGTACTTCCTAGACTTATAGATAATCAGCAATTACAGGTTATTTCTCATTAAGAATAAAGCATTTCTACCAACTGTAACAGTGGTAGGAAATGATACTGATACTATAGTATAGACTTCATTCCAAATTAAATGGAAAGGTACCTCCCTTGGAAATTTCATAATTTACTAAATCTTAGTTTGTTCAAAGATATTCTCATTCAAATAAATACTCTAGTAATACTCAGTTTCAGGTGAATAGTTCAAGATGTTGAATCAATAAAATTAATAAAATTCAGTTGGAATTATATGTTTGATTGGTCTTAAGTGACAATATATATACCAGGATATTACATGTAAAACACTGTGGCGTGGAAGAATTGTTTTCTTAATTGGCAGTTCCATTTATTACCAGAAACCTTACCTCCTGCATACATAACAGCCAGCATAATGGATGATATCCAGGCTATCTCACTGTAGCTAGAGTTGAATATTTGTTGAATTTCTTTGAAGAACACTGTGACAGCTTTTGGGAATGCGTATGAAAATCCAATGGAGATAAAAGATGCTCCAACCACTACCCAGCCCCATCCTCCGTCAGGAGGTGGAAGTAGTGGGGCACCTACTGGTGGTGGCATTTCTGCTCCTCTATTTGAAATTCAAGTAACCTATTTAAAAAAATGAAATAACAGTTTTAATTATATTTCAATTTCCATATTACTCTTGATAATCACCAAAACAGTATCTTCCAGTTATGAATACAATTATATAACTTTTCATGAATACTTTTTAATACTCTTATACTCAGAAAACTAACAAAAAAATTGGAATGAGGTATGTTACTTTGTTATGGGCTAAAAATAGGAACCATTAATATTCACTAACAGAAATAAAAATTATTCAAGGGCTTCAGATCTGTACTGAAGTCCAACTCCAAAATAAAGGCTATCTCAATCTGATTTCTAAGCATAGTAAAAAGAAGGCTATCATCACTTAAAAATAGAATACATTTGGGGGCTCCTGGGAGGCTCAGTTGGTTGAGGGTAGTGAGTGGCTCAGTAGGTTAAGTGTCTGACTCTTGACTTCCATGCAGGTGGTGATCTCCCAGTTCATGAGTTAAAGCCTGCTTTGGATTCTGAACTGACACTGTGGAGTCTGCTTGGGATTCTCTCTGTTCCTCCCCTACTTATGCTTTCTCTCTCAAAGTAAATAAATAAAACTTTTTAAAAAACAGAATACATTTTTAATCCAAAATATTTAAGATTTCCTTTACAAGGTTTGAAAAGGACCACGTATGGGGTGCCTGGGTGGCTCAGTCAGTTAAGCGTCAGACTTCAGCTTGGGCCATTATCTCACACAGTCTGTAAGTTTTAAGACTCATGTCTGGAGCCTGTTTCAGATTCTGTGTCTCCTTCTCTCTACCCTGTTCCTGCTTGCACTCTGTCTCTCTCTCTCTCTCTCAAAAATAAACATTTAAAAAAAATTTAAAAAGGACCATGTATTAAATCTGATAGATTTTAAAGAACAGATTTTTAAATTATTGGAAATATTAGATCATTAGATACATTTTAGAACTTCTTTTAACAAATGAGAATACTTAAACATATTTCACATGCATCTATTATCTATACTCATAGCATTGGAAATTATGTTTTTAATGAATTAATTTTACCATTCTTTTCAAAATGGTGCTACCTATGATTTAATCAATGATATATTTTTTATGCCTTTTTCATAGCAATGAAATTCTTCCAAACAAATGGATGGCATGTTATTGTTTATCAAAAGAAAGGACTTTCTCTTTGGATATACCTAGGAACACTTAACCCCTTAGTGTTTATGGTATAGAGCACCCACTCTCCTGTGGAAGAAATGATCACATATAGCTTAGTACAACTGAAACTAAATTTGAAACATTTGGGTTGCCTAACATCAATGTTTCTATGTAAAACTGTAAAGCTGTTTGCTTAGCTTTTGCTGTAATTGCTCCATTTCTCAATATTTTCTTCTTACTTCTCTTATGTTATTTGCAAATATGTTTCCATTGCAATGTAGAGGAAAGAGAGTAGCCATTTTCTATTACTAAAATACTGTTGGAAATGAGTTAATAAAAACTAATTCTGCCACATGTTTTTCAGAAAACCTACCAAAAAACTAAACAGATATCTACAAAAACAGAGACAGATTTAATTTCTATTTAATGTCAGATTATATCAGGGATATTTTCAGTGATCTTCTATATATGTTTTCTAGATTTTGAATGAAAACAGTCTAAATTCTAAAATTTTCTAGTCTGTTCACTGATATACTGAAGGACGTTGCTTTCAAAATTCATATAGGAAAAATAATAAAAATGAAACTTAAAATAGGTAGAATAGTTCTCTGCAATTTTCCTGTTTGCATAAAAAAAGCTGTCTTTCATTAATTCATGAGTTTAAACTTTTGTAGTTTTTATCACATCTACTATTGTAAACACTCAGAAAGACAACTGGATGATTTGTTTTGTAGTCATTTCAAAAATAACATTTCTAAATAATCTTAAATATACTTTTAAAGATCAATATGAGTATTGAAATTTACTAATATTCAAATCATGTTATGAATATGAATACTGAAATTTACTAATGAGCTTGGTTGATGTTGGGATTTCTATTGTATACAGGAATCTATGCTCATAAAAGACCTTTAAAAAAGGATTATATTAGGGTACGTAGGTGGCTCAATCAGTTAACCATCTGGCTCTTGATTTTGGTTCAGGTCAAAATCTCACAAAGCATGGGATAAAGCCCTAAGTCAGGCTCCATGCTGACAGCATGAGGGCCTACTTGGGATTCTCTCTCCCTGTCTCTCTCTGCCTCTCTCCTGCTTGCACGCTCTCTCTCTCAAAAATAAAATAAACACTTTTTTAAAAAAAGATTATATGACTGAAATATTTATTTCTCTTTAATCATCCTTTTTGTATTTTTTTCACCAGTTTATCTTAGTATGTGAACATTTGTCATCTGTTTACAGCATATTTGCTTGATTTTAATTATAACTGCATAGTCCAGGTTGCAGAGTCACCATTTATACTTCTTCACTCCCTTATCTCCTAGCTGATTAGTTTTTCCATATAAATTGGTGTCTTATGTTCTCTTAACTAAATCATTACAAGGTACAACCCTAACCAATTAACCCTTGAAAAATTTCACTTCCACCTGTTCATGGTTTCTTTTAATATTTATTTATTTTAGAGAGAGCATGTGCATGAGCGGGGTGGGGACAGAGAAAAAGGGGGACAGAGGATCCGAAGTGGGTTCTGTGCCGACAGCAGTGAGCTGGATTCAGGGCTCAAACTCACAAACCCCAAGATCATGACCTGAGTCAAAGTCAGATGCAGGTGCCCCTGTTCTGTTCATTATTAAACAACTCCTGAGTTGATAAGTAGTCAAGATCCAATTCATACACACTCACTGGTCTCATTATTTTCCTGTGCACAATTCTGTTAATGTTTTACAGAACTTAGAGCTGTTGTGTCTCTTCCTTTTATTTGTGGAAGTAATCAGGAAAAATGGGAATCAAAAGCATAATTTTACCTGTTGATAGATGCCAACTTGAAGAGATTTTTTTGGATTATCTGTGGATAATCAAGTATTCCTTGAAGCGATATGTGAAGGTTTAATGCAAAGGGAGAGAGGTAGAGCAGACTCTCGATTTTCTAAAGAAATGAAAAAAACAAAGGTTACATGTATAAGTCAGTTCTGTAAGCCTCATTAAAGAAGCCACTAGCTTTAACTCATCCCAGGACATTGTGGCAATGTTATAATAATTAGCAAAACTTCTTTGTCAACCCATCGATTTGATTACTACAGTATGAACAAAATGATTAAACATACATGCACGAGAAAAAAATCATAAGTATAAAATGAAGAACTAGGCCCTTTTTTAAAAAAAATAAATAACAGTAGGGGTGCCTGAGTGGCTCAGTTGATTAAGTGTCTGACTTCGGCTCAGGTCACAATCTCGTGGTTTGTGAGTTTGAGCCCCACATCAGGCTCTGTACTGACAGCTCAGAGCCTGGAGCCTGCTTTGGATTCTGTGTCTCCCTCTCTCTCTCTTCCACTTGTACTCTGGCTCTCTCTCTTTCAAAAATAAACATCAAAACATTTTTTAAAAAACTAAATAAAAGTAGATTGCATATCTACCAATATGAGAAGGAATTTTATTGGCATTCATTAGCTGTCATTCAAATAATTTCCTATACTCATTTAAATCATTTGCTGTAAAATTCAATAAAAGAAAAATCCATTGACAATGGAAACAAAGTTTAAAAGAGAATTATGGGAAATATTATCAATAATATATATGTCTCACAATGAGACAGACTGGGTCATGGAAAGGAGTAAAAGTATTTTAGGGACCTTCTGATTTAGAATTAAAACTTCCTAATCAGATCTGGATAAAGGACAAATATGCTGAAATTCCCTAATACATCAAACATTTTTATTTCAACTTAAACCTTGTGCTGAATATATAGAAGCTAGTACTTAGAGTTTATTTTGTTTGGGTTAGACATTCCTTTGCCTAGATTAAAGCTGAGAAAAAGTCAACTCTTTCAATTAAATAACCAGTTTCCTGCTTTGCATGCAGGGCCACTGTATCTAAAGTGTTGAAGGAAGGCAACAGAGCCACCAGGCCAAATAAGATTTGTATGACAGGATGAGCAAAGCCTGTGATCTAGTTGCCAAGTCAGTGAGAAACTGAGGGCGGGGACTAGAATGAAGAGTAGTCAGGGGATTATAAAGTCAAGAATAAAAACCGATAAAGGGGTAAGGCTGGAATTCAAGTTTTAACCTATGCTAGGAAAAAGAGTTCACACTAAATGGATCTCCCAGGTCTGGGGTAAGAGCAGCAAGGAGAAACATCTGTTCTGGTCTTACCAGGAGCCTTGGAAGCCTTGGTAAGTGTTTTAAGCCAGGTAATTTAGGGATGGCTGCCTCATCCCACTACATGTAACTAGCCCATCCGAATGCAGAAAACACTTTTTATATTTTAGCAAATACATTTTCTGTCAGTTTCCTCTGGCAGAGAGAACTGCTCTGAGTTCAGGGCAAAGCCTCAGAGGAAAGCCTGAGGCACTCCTGAAAATTGGGCTCTGACCTTCCAATCTATGCTTAATTATCATCACGCTTTATGGAGGTCAGCAGAGAGGCCACAACAAGAGATCTTGACAATTCCGCATTCTAAATGCCGTCCAACATTTCTACAAAACTTTCACAGTGCTTTGACCTGACTGGTCTATTTTCTTGCAGAAAGACCAATGCATATGCATGGCTTTTTTCAACAAATTGGCCAAAAATGGAGGAAGTTGTAACTTCCTGCTTGGTAGTTATAACCATATTGTTTTTTACATCCCTTTCTCTACATCTCTAAAACTATCATATTTTAATACATGTTTATGCAAACATATTTATATTCATGCAACCCATATATTGGTCTTTAGGATTTTTTCTTATTTTTTTATGTTTATTTTTGAGAGAAAGACAGAGTGTTACAACAGGATGAATGAAAACAACAATAGCAATGTTTAATTTTTTTCCTGAAGATTCAATTAATTATCATAATCCCATGAATAAGTGGTGTATTTAATCACACTTAGAGATGAAGGCATATGGGGCACCTCGGTGGCTCAGTTGGTTAACCGTCTGACTCTTGGTTTCAACTCAGGTCATGATCTCACCGGTTCATGAGTTTGAGCCCCACACTAGACTCCTCACTGACTGTATGGAGCCTGCTTCAGATTCTCTGTCTCTCCCTCTCTCTGCCCCTCCCCTGCTCATGTTCTCTCTCTCAAAATAAATAAAACAAAACAAAACATTGGATTCTGTTGAAAGAGAGAGAGAGAGAGAGAGAGAAGATGAGGGCGTAAAGAGTCAGAGGTGCAAAGTGATTTTTCCAAAGTGTAATGTCCAGTAAGTGATCAAATTGGTACCATGACTAGTATTTTTGTTAGGCCCATGTTACTGATTACACTTTGACATAGTACCTTAGAGGCTGCTCTTTCTGCCAACAAATACATTCCCTCAGTTTTATTTCTATGGTGAATTTCCAAATTTCAGTTCTTGCACATACGCTTGCCTGTCTTGTCCATCAGAATTCAAATACTCTCTGTAATTCTAAACCTCAACTATTCCTTAAAGTCTTTCGAATTCATCATTATTTTAGCTTATTTACATTTATCCTCTCTATACTGTGTTTGAGTATATAGACTACAATGTATCATTGTCATTGACAAAAAGGGTGACTTAATGACTACTGAAAACATTTGGCTACTTCAAGTAAAAAACTTATATGGTGGGATGTGGTAAGCCCGAAAACCTTGCCTTATCTTCTAGAAATCAATATGGGTTAAAAAAATAATAGAAATCAATATGGGTTGATTAATCTATGGAGAGGAAGGTGTAGGACAAAGAAATAGTAAAACTATTAGTGATGATGAATGGGTAGGCTCCCGTATTATATTTAGGGCCCTTTCTCATTCAGTTGTACAAAATATCAGAATGTTCCTTTATATAGTTTGCAAATATTTTTTCTTCAGCTATCCAAATCTAAATCAGGATGCCTCAATTTTATGAACCCTTATCAATAGTCTAAGCCATCCAGGAGTTTATGTTACAAAATACAGTCCAGAAATAATATACTCAGCAAACTAAGTCTCAAATTAAATCAATAGGTGTTAGGAGACTATTGACTTCACTATAAATTCATCTAGATAGCCTATGGATAAAGCATGGCTTGTTCTTTACATCCTACCTTGGTTGCATTTTCACCTAAAGGGATTACTATGTTCCTTACAGAATAATGAACTAGACTTTTTACTTTCTATTTCCTTTTTCTCATAAAAAAGGATAGAGTTGTGTCAAATTAACATACAGTATTTAAATTTAGATGATAACTCACCCAATTTTACAGTTGGAAATAAACTGAAACAAATCTTTTTTCCAACAGGTAATTGAATTAAAATGGGAATCTAATCCTAAGAGGTTATTTTATTCTTCCAGATGGACCATCTTTTAAATCCTACAGACTGATTTACTTTGACAACTAGACAAGAAAGATATCAATAGTGCATGGCCCACAAAATGTCAGTAACACAAAACCTATTTTTAGATGTGAACTACTGCTGTAGTTAAAAGGACTCTGAGAATGCTAATTGATAATAAAGGTCAAACTAACTGAAGATGTGTTTATAATGCGCAAATTATGAAAACTAATATGAACCAGCACATAATTATTTATAAAGAATTGGAAATGGACATCCCATATCAAACAATTACCGATTTCTAATCCTATACTTTTAGGATTGTGTAAAAGCAGTTGTAGTGGGCTGAATAGGGCCCCCCCTAAAAGATGCCCATGTCAAATCCCTAGGACCTGCAATGTTGTCCTAGAACTTGAGTGCTCGTGTTACCTCAAAATTCACATGTTGATACCTAATCCCAAATCGTGATGGTATTTGAAGACAGAGTCTTTAGGAGGCTTATAAATGAGGCCCTAGAGACCTCCCTTGCTCTCTCTGCCAAATGAGGACACAGTATAATGTGTCCTTCCTGTCTATGAAGCAGGAAGAGGGCTCTACAGACACTAAATCTCCTGGCACCTTAATCTTACACTTCCCTGTCTCCAGAACTGTGGGAAATAGTTTCCATTATTTATAAGCCACCTAGTGTATGGTATTTTGAACAGACTAAGACAAAAATTGGTACTGGGGATAGGATGCTGTCCTACATTATCTTTTTACTTCTTATATTTAGTGACATTCTCTGGCCAACCTGAAAAAATTAAATGGTTATATTTACAGATTTTTGGGTCTCCCATTTTGCATTTAGTCTTCAAAGATTTTCTAGTATTTGTTTCTTTCCTCAATTTGAAAAGAAGGTAATTAACTGACACTAAGAAAGGAGTGTTTTAAAAAAAATTCCTGAATATTTCCAGGAAGATTACAGGGCCATAGAATACCTTTCTTTTCTATTAAAAACTCTATTTAAAAAAAATTAGATAAAGGAAAAAAATCCATAAGCTCTCCTGATACCAAGGATGAAATTCAGAAATATGCTAGAAGCTTCTAGAAGTTTCTAAAAAATACAATACTGTTGAGGGCAGGATTAAGATATAGTACCAAAGCAAGGTGAATCCACCTGGCCAGAAGCATGAAGTAACATGGTCTTCCATTTCACCAAGATAAGCTCCCTTATTCCTCTGCTCACCAGGTGGCTGAAGCATCCTGTGAAGCAATGTTCCTTTTAGAATCCTGGTTAGTTCCATCTATGACATACCTCTTTGTCACCCAATAGAATTGTCATCCAATACTATAACCCCTGCATCATCTTACCCTTGAGTAATATTTATAGTATGAGGAAACTAAAGATAACCTAAATGCCCAAAGTTGGGTAGTGTCTGACATATTACTGTCATTCACTTGATAAACTGTTATAAATATATTAAATGATAATTATGAAAATTGTGTAATAACAAGGGAAATATTTATTATGTAATGTTCCGTGAAAACACTGTGCTAAAAATTTGTATGATACTAAAATTGAAAATATATGACAAAAGAGATGCATTAAAAAAAGACCTCATAAGGGGCACCTGGGTGGCTTAGTTGGTTGAGCGTCTGACTTCAGCTCAGGTCATGATCTCAGGGTTTGTGAGTTT